AATAAATTAAAAAAAATAGATACGATAGACAAATTCATCGAAAGACTCTACCTGCCAAAGCTTACTTGGGAATATGCCGTATCTATTAAAGAAATTGAATCTGTAGTTAAAATTTTTCTGACAAAGAAAATTCCTTGCTCAGATGGCTTCATTTGTGAATTATACCAAATCTTTAAGAAGTAATACCAATTCCACATAAACTCTTCCAAAAAGAAGATGAGAAAACACCTCCCGACTTATTTTATGAAGCTCTGATAACAAAACTAGATAAAGATGTTACAAAAAACTGCAATTATCCACTTCATGGAGGCAAATATCCTTAGCAAAATTTTAATAAATCAAACCCAATAATGTATGAAATAATGCATAATAACCAAGTGAAATTTATCCTAGGAGCACATTTAATATTTTAGTATAAATTGCTGTAACTCACTCTTTCAAGATTAAAAAGAAAAATCATAAGAACTAGTTCACAAGACATAAAAACAAAACCAAAACAAAAACCACCTTACATTAATTCAACACGATTCTTGTTGAAAGATCTCACTGATTTAGAGATAGAGGAGAATATTCTCAACCTGATAGTGGGCACCTAGAAAAATCCTCGGTAAAAGACCTAATCCTTCCCACTCAAAGACAGGGAATAAAGTAAGGACATCTGCTTCTACCATTTCTCAACGAAGTACTGGAGGTCCCAGCTAATATAACCAGGCAAGTAAAAGAAATAAAAGACATATACATTGGAAAGGAAGATGTAAAACTCTTTATTACATAGGACATGATCGTACACCTAAGGAAATCCCAAGGAATCTATGAGAAAGGTGCCTGAACTAACTGAATTTAGAAAGTCACAAGGCCAAAACGTAAAAATCAAATTTATTCTATATATTAGCAACAATTAAAAGTTAAAATGAAAAAATTCCATCTATGAATCATAAAGTAACATGAAATACTTGGGGATAAATTTAACAAAATATGTTGAAAAGCCTGTACAGGGACAACCGAAAAACTTTGTTGACAGAAATCAGAACTAAATTAGTACAGAAGTATACCATGTTTATGGATAAGATGCAATATTGCCAATTCTACCCAAATTAATCAATAGATTTGCTACATTCCCGATCAAAATTTCAGCTTTTTTTCAGAAATTGGCCATTGTGATTCTAAAATTTAAATAAATACAAAGGACTGAGAAAAGCCATAAGATTTGAAAAATATACATACAATGGGAGGCTACATATTGCCTGATTTTAAGACTTTCTATAAATCCACAAGAATCAGGACTGTTTATCGTACCAGCACAAGGAGACACAAACAGATCAATGGAACGGAAATAAACCCACAATACTTATCAGTTTATTTTTGACAAAGGCATCAAGGTAATTTAATAAATGCAGAATTAACAAATGTTGCTATAATGACTACACAGACACATCGAAAAAATGATCCCTGAATTCCCTCTCACGGTAAACTAAAGCTAGTAGAAATAGGTCATAAAGTAAAATATAAAACATAAAGCTATTAAAATTCTAAAAGAAAGCACAGGAGAAATCTGTGATTTTGGACATATAGGACACAAAAAATATGAACTACAAAAAAATTGATAAATTGAACTTTATCAAAATTAAACATCTTTGCTCTTTGAAAAATACTGTAATCGAAAGTTTTTCAAGAGTGGAAGTTAACTAGTTGGTGGTGGTGATGGCAGTGAGCAGCATAGCAGACAGCAGGAACTATGAGGCAGTAGAAAAGGATTATGTTGGAGGGGTGACCAGGAGGCTGGTGAATCAATAGGGGCCAGGTCCTGGAGGTCAGGGGAGGCTCCAACATCATTCACCACAGGGTGAGTTGGGACAAAACTCTTGTCTTCTCTAGTTCTCTTCCTCCGTGATAATTCTCCCTTACTGTCCTCTCCTGCTGCCACTCCCCCCACCCCCCACAAAGCTCGTCTTGCATATCCTCCTCAGCTGTGTTCTGCTCCCCATGTTTCCCATCAGTGCTCTCATCCCCTCCCACAACTCAGCTTCACCTGCGCAATGTAGTCTCAAGTCAACTTCTCCAGCCTTTCTCCTTAGGGCCAGGCCCTTATTTCCAACCTACAATTTGGACCTTGTCCCCTGCAGAACTCGGTGTCCATTCCTTCTGTCCTAAGTTCGCCACTCCTCCCATATTCATGGTCTTCCCTAATGGCCAAATATGTCACACTGGGCAGGGTGGAGGGAAGCATGGGCCCTAAGAGTCATCTGGTCTGGACTTAAATTGGAGCCTTCTTTGGACAATGGAAATTTAAGCCATTCTGCCCCTCCAGCCTCCCTCTGCACATCTGTCCTCCCTCCATCTTTGGGACATGGAAATTAAAACCAGAGTGAGGTACTACCACGCACCTTCCAACACAGCTAAAATTATAGACTGTATCATCCACTCATCTCTCAATATTTAAATGTCAAGGCTTCCAAGTGCTTTACACTTCCACTGTCTCCCTTAGGCATCAGCCATTCTGCAGGCCTTGGCCAGGAGCCTGTTACATGTTCTTAGAGCACTCATGCTTCTCCTTCTCAGCACAGAAAAAGGTCAAGTAAATAATTTCCGGTACATTAGTTTTAGAATGTTTTTCTTTCCTCATTGTAGGTAAGGTCCATGAGGGCAGGAACCAAGTTTATCTAAGTTAGGGGTTGGCCAACTTTTCCTGAAAAGGGCCAAATAGAATGTATTTTCAGCTTTCTGGGCCACAGGGCCTTCATCACAACTACTCAACTCTGCCATTGTAGGTGGAGAGCAGTGGAGACAATATGTGAATAAACGAGTGTGACTATGATTTTATGAAGTTTTATTTATTAAAATAGGAGGTGGGCCAAAGGTCCAGAGTTTGCTGACCCGTGGTCTAAATCACCAGCACCCAGTCTAGGATCTGACATATAAAAGGCACTCGAAGGATAAAGAAAGAAGATAAAGCCCTTGGTTTTGGCAATGAGCTGGAAACTGGTACACAGGGAGGGTGGTTTTAGCGGAATGGTGGGGGTGGAATGGAGGCAAGAGTGGGTTGAAGAGGGAGTAGTAGTTGAGGAAGGAGTGACTGCTCTTCCAAGAGTGCCACCATTGGCGCGGCAGGCATTGGGGAATGGTACTGTCTTAGTAGAGCAGGGAAAAGAGGAGCAAGTTTGCAGGCTGTGACAAGAAGGCAGGGCAGGGGAAGAGAAGGAGAACTGTTGAGGAGGGCCCTTCAAAGCTCAGGTGTGTGAGGACGTGGTCACACAGGAGGAACATACCCACTGAGGCTGAGAAAAAAGAAACAAGGAAAAGTGGAAGGAAACTGGGGAAAGCCTCATCTTCCTCTTTCCTGTGAACTGTGAGCCAAGACCACCTGGTGAAGAGGGTGGGACTCCAGGTGAGGAACTGCAGCGTCTGTCAGATTGGGAGGGCTGGCAATAGGTTTGTGGACACCCCGGATAGGGCTGTGGGCTGTCGCCGTCACTGCTGCCGGAGCCATACCCCTCCCTGTTCTCTGGCCGTCTCTCGGGGAGCACTTTTAACCAAGGTGGTGTTTTCGTCTTTCTGAGCTGTCTGCAGCTAAGACCTGGTGTGAAAGCTGTCATTCACTGAGTCACCAGCACTACTTGCTATCACTTCCTGTTACTTCTCTTTCCCAGGCAGGTGGCAGTAGGCAGGGCCTGAGGCACATGAGGTCATGTATTAACAACGTGCACATACCCAGTTCTTTCTTGAAGGCTATTAAAAGGCATTTCAATTTCAGAAAGTTAGTGGTGGTTTCATCCCCATGGCTTCGAATGTGTATGTTGTAAACTACTGGGCAGAACTGGATTTTTCTTTCAACAGAAGAAACCGTTTGATGGGGGGTGTGCAGTAACAACAGCATGGCGGCTATTTAATTTTCCAAGCCTAACACAGTACTGAAACCTATACAACACGACTTCTCACGGAGCAAGTGTTAGTATTACAATACTTAAATACCCTGAAAAATATTTTCTTTTTTTTTTTTTTAAAGAATTTATTTATTTATTTGACAGAGAGAGAGAGATCACAAGTAGGCAGAGAGGCAGGCAGAGAGAGAGGGGGGGGAAGCAGGCTCCCTGCTGAGCAGAGAGCCCAATGCGGGGCTCGATCCCAGGACCCTGGGATCATGACCTGAGCTGAAGGCAGACGCTTAACCCACTGAGCCACGCAGGTGCCCCCTGAAAAACTTTCTCATAGTCAAAAACCTATAACCAATTTCATTTATCCCAAGAACCAGACACCCAGAAAAAGTGTCAATTTCAACATTAATGTATTAATTCATGATTACTACTCGTGCAGGAATGTATGAGAAGGGTTCAGACAGGTAGCAGCGGTGATGGGGCCCACAGCTCTGTCCTGGGCATCCACATCTGCATTTGCCAGCCCTCCCAGTATGACAGATACCTCCTACTTTTCAGGAGAAACGAAAACCATCTAACTATCTTTTAGCTGAACGCCTGAAAGAAGAGTATCAGGACTTGTTTTCTTCTGCTTTATTTCAAGATGTCATTGCTGTTCATATTTATAGACTGAAATACGCTCTACTAAGTAAAACTTTCATTCATATTTTCAGGTTTCCCCCTCACACATCAAAAAATAACTTTCCTAAGACACAACCAATCCTCACTGTACGCTTTCAAGTTATTCCAGAGATGATGGAAACCACCACCTGTGAATGCACTGGAATGTAAAATGGTGACGCCTCCCCACTCCCATAACAAACCTTTTTTTTTTTAAACATTTACTTATTTGACAGAGAGAGGAGAGGTCACAGGTAGGCAGAGAGGCAGGCAGAGAGAGAGAGGGGGAAGCAGGCTCCCTGCTGAGCAGAGAGTGCCTTCCGCTCAGGTAACCCTGGGATCATTACCTGAGCGGAAGGCAGAGGCTTAACCCACTGAGCCACACAGGCGCCCCCATAACAAACCTTTTAATCTGGAAGGACTTCCAATACATCTTTAGATATACGTTCAATAAACTTAATCTCTTACCCTATTGTCGGGTTGATGTTTGGATCAAAACTGTCTTCCACGAACCGCCACACGATACTCGATTTACCTACACCTGTATCCTGAAAAAGAACGAGACGGGTGAATACAAATTAAGTTTACCTGGATGCAGACAAAGAAAATGACTTTGGGCCTGAAACTCAAGATTTTAAGAAAAATCATCTCCTATGCTAATTTTTAGAAGTGAAGGGACCCAAAGAAGGTTTTCATAAACATTCGGTGGGAGTAATTAGATTTCATAATGTACTACAGGACGGGGGTTTTGCAGTTTTTAAGAACATGAACCCTTTGAAAAACCCAAAGTTTCTGCTTAGTGTGAAAAGTGACACACTGGCTTTTTAATATGTGTAAGTAAACTGAACTCTTGAATTATTTCTGAGTAATCCCTGATAAATCACGGCCCCGCCCTATTTGGGCACGGGGAAGACTAGTTATTGGAATCTTTTCCAGTCTTTAAAACAGCAACTCAGGCAAAAGAGCATCAGCTTGAGAAGGCAGGATCTGAAGAAGCAAAGCTGCCCGGACAAGACAGGAAGCAACAGCTTCCAACTACTTTTTGGGGGCTTCCTGATGTGAACATCCCCCCGGAAAAGTAACTCTACGAGAAGTATCACGGGTATCCCACAAGTTCAAAACTCCAAACAAATGAGAAAGGAGACAAACTCTGCTGGTGAAACCTTAAGACCTGCCACTGGTTTTACTTCCGAAGACTCGGCCAACTTCTAGCCAGTACCTTAGGAGGAAACTAGAACTCCTCTCAGCCTAGATGCAGTGGAGAGGCAGGGAAGGCGCTTTACGCTCTGGGGGCGGGAAGAGTCCCTGGACACCAGTAAGGGGCGCGGGAAGGGTCCCTCCTGCCAGCAAGACCCTTAGGAGGGGGCGGAAAGGTGGGCAGGATGGCCCCGGGGCCGGAGGGAGGGTCCCGGGTCAGGTCCTGCACCGAGGCTGGGGGAAGGGGCGCAGAGGACTTGGGCACGCTTGGGTCCCCGGCCTACCCGGCCCCCCCGCGGCCCCCCCGCGGCCGACCCACCGCCACTCACCCCCAGCAGGCACACTTTGAGCTCCCTCAGCGCCATGGCCCGGGAGCCAGGGGCGCGGGCCCGCCGCCGCCCTAAGTTGAGGGAGAGGCCGGGCCCAGCTCGAGCATCCCCCGGCGCCGCCGCCGCACGGCTCAGCCCCGGCCGCGGAGCGCGCAGGGGCGGCGGCCGTCCGCTCGCCAGCCCTCGGCCCGGCCCGTCCGCTGCCAGCTGCGCGGGGCCCGCCTCAGCAGCCGGGATAGTGCCTCGGCCTCTCGGGCGCCGATACCGCCGCCATCTTGAGACGCCGGCCGGGTCACCTGACCTCCCCGCCCACCTCGGCAGCCACCTTCGCCGCGAGGGCGGGGCCCGGCCGGCGCCGAGAGGCTGGCGGGGAGGGGCCGGCCCAGGGGGCGGGGATAGGAGCCTGAGGCCCCGCCTCACACCCACCGGCCCCGCCCTCCCGCGCGGACCCCGCCTCCTGGCCCATCCCAAGATGGCGGGTGAGTGGGGTTGGTTCCCTGGGCGCAGAGGCGGACCCTTCCCCGCCCCCCCCACCCCCCCGAGCCGAGACCACTCCTCAAGGCCTGGGGACCCCCGCCCGCCCCTGAGCCCGCCTGCCGCGGTCCTCTCCTTGCGTGTAACTCCTGTGTGTTTCTTGGTTTTCAGAAATCCCTCTGTACTTTGTGGACTTGCATGATGACTTAGATGATTGTAAGTAACAGTTGGGGCGCCCCTGCCCCTCCCTGGGAAGCTCTCACAGAATTCGGGGTGCACGGGACGCCCGGGGGGAGCTACAGGCCAGGCCCTCCTTGCTGGGACAGAAGAGCGGGGGCCCCCAACTGCCTGGATGCACTTGTGGCAGTCCCTCCTCACTGGGCGGGGCGGGCCAAGGACGGGGAGCCCTCCCCTCCCGGGGGAGGATTTTGGTCGTTGTTAGGAAACTTCTGACTTCCGGTCACTTTCTTTCTCTTCCTCCTCCTGCTCACGCGGTGGCCGGGGAGGGGTAGGAGGGTTCATCCCGAGTCGTGGTGATTCAGGGCGGGAAGAGGCACGGCCCCCGCGGGGTTGGGGGTGACTTCGACCTGGGGTCTCCACTTTTTCCGTGGGACTTTTTAGAGTGAGGGGAGTTTTGGAGTTTGGGAGGTACGGCTCTCCTTGTGGACTCCTCATGTGTTCTGGCCACAAGCCCAGCTCCATCTCTCATCCCAAGGAGCCCTTTGGGGCCGGCATTCCTTGGGTGGTTCTCCTTAACTTGTCCCTTCCTGCCCTTTCTTTTTCTTTGGGGTCACTTTAAGGACTGCTGGCTCAGGGAGGTGTCATCCTGTAAGTGCAAATTCGCTTTTGTGGTAAATGAAGCATTTCCTTTCCATTCGTTTCTTGAGCACCTACTTGTTCTGGGCCAGGTCAAGTACAGCGGCCCAGATCTACAAAGACGAACCAGAAACAGGGGCAGCTTTCTAGGGGTTCACGGTCAGGCAGAGAGCAGACTTGTTCACAGAAAATGACCAAACCCTGGGATGCTTGCTTGTGAAGGAGGCCTGTACAACCATCAAAACAGCTACCTTGATCAAGGCTTGCTCTCCTCTTTCCTTCCCTGTCTGCAGGTTCCTCATCATGAGAGCTGATGTTTATCGAAAACTTGCCGCGGGTCAGGCACAGTTTTAAAGTCTTTGTAGACACTGCCTCGCGGGTCAGGCACAGTTTTAAAGTCTTTGTAGACACTGCCTCCTTTAGAAGGAAGCAACATTATTAAAGTAGGATGGCGCTTGAAGGGGTAGTAAAGCCAGTGGTTAGGAGCTAGGTGGCCAGAAAGTCAAGGAGGTCCTGTGTAACTCTTTACTGGCCGTGTGATCTTGGATCAGTCACTGTACCACTTTGAGCCTTGGTGGCCTCATCTGCAAAATGGGCACAATAGTGTTCCACCTCAAAGGTTTTAGTGAAGGTTAAGTGAATTAAAGGTTTAGAGTGAGGCTCTCTGTACGCAAATACTCGGTAAACATTAGCTGCCGTTGCTGTTGTTACCAATGTGATCATTATTCATATTTATGTAACTCTGTTGAGTCAGGTCCTGTATGACCCTGGGTTTACAGAGATAAGTGTTTCAGCCAATGGACATCCTTGAATGGAAGGAATGTAGCATTTCCACTGGTAAACATCAGTGTACTTCTATGCATAGATTTGATATTTGGCCTGTTGGGAAAGGCAGATTGCTGGCTGTTTTAGTTATTTAACACATTACCCCAAAACTTAGTGGCTTAAACCAACAGCATTTTATTATTATTATTTATTATTTTTTAAAGATTTTATTCATTTATTTAGAGAGAGAGAGAGAGGATGAGTGGGAAGAGGGGCAGAGGGAAAGGAAGAGAGAGAATCTCAAGCAGACTGGCAGAGAGCAGGGAGTCTGAGGAGGGCTCGATCTCACGACCCTGAGATCATGACCTGAGCCCAAATCAAGAGTCGGCCGCTTAACCGACTGAGCCACTGAGGTGCTCCCAAACGAAGAGTATTTTATTGCTAACAATTCTGTGGGTTGCCTGGGTGATAGAGAAGCTTCATGTGTTCGCATTTGAACTCTGGGAAGGTGAGAAGGTCCAAGATGGCTTCATGCACAGGAGTTCTGATGGGACTGTTGGCCGGGACCTCAGTTCTTGTCCAAATACCTTTGCGACTTGGCTTGGTTGGCCTTCTCAAACCGTCATGGCAATTGGAGCTTTTTCCTGGTGGCTGGCTTTCTTCAGTCTTTTTTGTATGTATGTACTAAAAGAAAGTAAGAGAGTCTATAGGTAAAAATAATTGATTTTACTTTGGCCTTGTTTGAACAAGTATTGGGTGTTTGATACCCAAGTATTGGGTGTCTTCTCATAATAGAGAAGGCATTAAATACCCTGTAGCAGACGGCTGAAGACTTGCCCCAACAAGGAAGGAAGCCACCATTATGGCTCTGACTCTACCCATGCCTTGGGATTGCATCTTTGGGAGTCTTGTGGGGCTTCCTGTTTGAGCAGGGATGGGAGCTACGAGGTGCTGTACTTGACAATGTAATACAAATAATGACTTTACAATATAATTGATTTAATAGCTATATAGGAGGGCCTGTTCCCCACCCCCACCAGACTCCTTGGGTCCCACCTTTACTCCTTACTGTGGTGGCACTTGGGAGGCATTATTATGCCATGATTGACAGCCAGAACCCTGAGGTCCTGTGACCCACTTCCTGCCTTTAGCTGTGTCTTATGAGACAAGCAGATCAGTCCCCCACTCATTCTGTTCAGTTTTTTCGTCTGGAAGGTTACATGAGAATAAGAGATGCCTCATAAAACTGATGGGGTTAGATGAGGTAGTACACATACCACATTTTAGCTTAGTGCCTGGCGTAAAGAATCTTAGAGTCAATTGAATTTATTATTTTCATCATCATTACTAGTGTGGGCTTTCATGTAGGATTTTCTGATTCAGTGTTTATGGCTGCTCTGTGAGGTAGGTGAGATTATTCCGATTTTACAAATGATAAAACTGAGAATCAGAGAGATTCAGTAACTTACCTAGTGTGGCTCAGAAATGATAGAACTAGCAGTCATACTCTTCCTTTTGACTCTTGTTTTCTTGTCTGCCACCCGGATCAGCCTCACCAATATTCTTAACCTAATGGTGGGGGTGTGGATGTCAGTTTGGGTGGTTTTAGGTCTCGTCTTCCGTGGGTGTTTTGTGTAAGTGATGTGATAACTGCTTCATTTAGGCTGTAAGTCGCTTTGGGCAGGGACACAGGTCATCCTTTTTATAACCCAATTGTCCTATTTGAGCTAGGTGTTTAATTAATGTTGTTACTCGTAACAATAATGGATTACAAGGCTTGTCTGATTTACTTTGTGATTCTTGATTAAATTTGGCTGACTTAAAAAAAAAGCTTTAATGAATGTATGCCTTGTTTTTTTTTTTTTTTTAAACCATTCGTAGTCTTCAGGCCATCCAGCACAGAAAAGATTTAATTTTCGAGAATTAGATTGCTAAATTCCTTCTCTTGAGAACAGAAAGTGTGTGGGGTAGCCTGGCGTATTGGTCCCCGTGGCGGATTGCGCTGGAAAGTAGAGCTGTGTGAATCTGTGCTTATGGGGCCTATGCGTTTGCTTATAGCAGGTGCGGCCCTAAGAGATGCTGCCCTTGGTGAGGTTTGCTTGGCCATTTAGCATCTAAGCATATGCCGGTGGTAGTTGAAAACAAGAATGAGGGTGATCTGTCATGGATGAGAAGACACCTAAATGATTGATCACCAAAATACTTTGTGGTCATCCTTGGGCTCTTAGCTGAACAAACCAGCTTTAATAAGACGTGATGGCAACAGTGGGGGAAATTGAGCTTGGCCTGGGTAGTAGATGTTAAGTTAAATGTTAAAAATTCTTAGGAACTAAAAAAATAAAAAAAAAAAGAATTCTTAGGAACTTTGTCAGATGTGACAGTGGTAACAGCTTTGTTCAAAGGGGAGGGGCCTCACCTAACAGGAACAAACAAGCATTTATGGGTGAAGTGATTTGACGAGGGAGATCTGCTTTCAGATTTTGCAACGAACAATAAACAAACACAAAGTTGGGAAGAAGGATTAATGGGGGGGAAAGGCAGAGTATTGAGACTTATTGAGGCTGGCTGTTGGGGACATGGGGATTTTACCGTTCTCTCTGTTTTTGCATGTGCTTGGAAATTTCCGTAATACGGAGTGTTTGAAAAAGGAGGTAAAAGTTTCATATGTGATCCAGTATCTGTACAAAGAGTTGGAGAGCTGGATCCCAGTTCCGAAGTCCCTGCAGCATTATTGGAGGGTGCATCTAGCTTCCAAAGACAGATGGGTAGAATATGTTAGCATTTAGGGAATAAATTGTTTTCGAATGTTTCGTTTTTAAGAGGTATCTATGAAAGAAGTTGGAAGAGGGCATACTTCTATTGATAAGAAAGCCTAGCTGCCAGCCAGTGATAATCTGAACTTCCATAGAAAATAGGGTTAGCTGGGGTGGAGGAATACAGACTCTTCCGACCTTGAGCTGGAAGGGGCAGGGTATACGGTTAAGCTGGAATGAAAGACACCCTCCTGAGCAGAAGGCATTCCATTTCACCTGCCTGCTTTGTTCCAAGTTTCTAAAAATGTTCTGTTCATGGATCACAGCCAGGCTGTGTGCCCCCAAAGTGGAGAAGCTATATTAATTTGAGCCCAAAACCAAACCATTGAGCTTTTTCTCTGAACTATAAGATAAACTTGAATCGAAGATTGTCAATTAAAAACAACAACAGCAATCTCTCTCCCCCCTTAAGTGAACTGGCTTGAATAGGAACAGGAACTTGAGTATGCTAATACTTGGGAAATGGAAAAAAAAATCCCAATATCGCATTATTCTCTAAATCAGAGATGGGCACATTCTCCCCCCCCCACCCCAATAAGGATCAGATAATAAACATTTTAGGCTTTGTGGGCTAGAAGGGCTGATGCAGCCAGTCAAGTCTGCTGTTGTAGTCTGGAAGCACCCACAGACATACATAAATGAATGGGTATGGCTGTTTTCTAATAAAACTTTATTTACAAGCACAGGCAGTAGGCTGGATATGGTCCACGGGCCATAGTTAGCCAACCCCTGTTCTAAATCAAACTTGACTTCATTCTGTCAGAGCCTCTAAGTTTGTCTATTAGCTGAGCCAACCTTATAGGCTGTCTTTCCCACTGGGTT